TCAAACTGCGGTCGAATACATGGGAGTCCAGCGATGTAGCCATTATGCCACCTGCTGGTCCCATCTTCTGTTATTTCTTGATGTGTCGGTACTGGGTTGACTTCTCGAGAGTTCCACTGAAGGTTTAGTTCTCAGACCACACTTCCCCATCGAGCCACGCATGACCAAGCTCAGACCCTGCCCAGGGCTAGATCCACAGTGGGTTTAGGGAACCGGGGTTCCGGCTGGATGAGGACACCGTGCCGCCCGGTAACAGGCATCACTGTCTGGAACCGTCCTCACCTGCACGGTCACGGTCACGAGAGCCAGGCCCCTTCTTTCCATTTCCCTCACACATTCTGTCCACAGGGGGCTCCAGACACTGGCTCGCCCACTTTCTCTGGAAGCCTGACACGGGCAGGCCTGTGGGCTGGCAGTTCTAAGCCTCGGTGAGCCGCAAGCCAGGCCTGCCACCTGCGGTCGTCCCGGGACCTCTGGGCCTAAGGCCTTCTGGGTTTGTGTGTGGCCAGGGTGACAACTTTCCAGCCTGGGATCTGATGTCCAGTCATGAGGCGCTGGCGGCAGCCCATGGCACCAGTGCCACTGGGAGGGATTTGGGAGTCTGGTGGCTGAACCCACAGAGAGGGACACGCATTCGACCGCAGCCATGGTCCCCAGACCCCGCCTGCGTGTTCACGACCTCCCACGATGGGTGCGTTTCCGAGTCAGGAAGGTCCCGAGGAAATACATACGTGATGTGAACAGTTACGCCTGGCCACCCACACCACGACAAGGGGCACAGATATGCCACAGAGGCATGGGGGCGCCGTGGCGGGGGTTTACCTTGGACATCTGGCTGAAGTCGGCAAAGCCCTCAGCGCTGTTGAAGGACCCGCTTCCGAAGGGATCTAAGGTTCCAAAGGGATCTACGTGGACAGCAGCACAGTCAACAGTTACGGGTCTAGTGTTTTTTTTTGGAGAGGTTTTTGTTATAGGGCGCGTGTGCTCACCAGACAGACAGACAGACAGACAGAAAGTGGGAATCACCCCCCAGGGGGGATGGCCACGCCACAATCCCTTCTCCTCCACTCTCCTCTCAGGATCTTGGGCACGCACGCACATGCGCCAGGCATGAGTTTAAGCCACCGGGTCCGGGACTCGAACCACGGTCGACTACATGGGAGTCCAGCGACATAGCCATTATGCTAACTGCTGGTCCCACGGGTCTATTTTTTTAAAAAAGAGAACTATTTACTTCACTTTGTTGTTGTTATTATCATCATCATTATCATTTGACCAGAGAAACAGAGAGAGAGGGAAAGTGAGAAAGCAAGCTGCCAGGTCCAGGACTCGAACCATGGTGGGCCACGTGGGAGTCCAGTGCTTTAACCACCACGCCACCTGCCGGTCCCTATAGGTCTGTTTTTTGGTTACAGGGCTCATGCATTCACCAGAGAGAGAGAGAGAGAGAGAGAGAGAGAGAGAGAGGGAGAGAGAGAAGAAGAGTGAGAAAGTACCCCTGGGGGGATGGCACACCGCAATCCTTTCTCCTCCACTCTCCTGAGATTTTGGGCATGCACGCACATGCACTCAGCATGGTTTTCAAGCTGCCAGGTCCGAGACCTGAACCTCAGTCAGCCATGGAGGATCTGGCAGCCTTAACCACCACACCACCTGCTGGCCCCAGAGTTATAGGTCTTTAATGGAACACGCTGGAAGCCAAGTTCTGGGATTAAGGGAAACACTAAGTGGCTCTGACTCAGGAGACTGGAGAAAGTCACAGCTGCTCAACAAAGATGGGAATCTGGGGACCGGAAGATGGCGTAATGGTTACATTGCTGGACTCCCATGTAGCTGACCACGGTTCAAGTCCCAGACCTGGCGGCTTAAACTCACGCCAGGCACGTGTGCGTGCATGTCCAGGCTACCAAGAGGAGAATGGAGGAAAAGGGCCTGCAGTGTGACCATCCCCAGTGATGCAGAGGTGAAAGCAGCTGGATCCTACATGCCCAAGTGAGTGGTTTGAGACCTGGGCCCGGCAGATCGAAAAACATGCTGGGTGTGTGTGCATGCATGTCCCAAATCCTGAGAAGAGGATAGAGAAGGAATTGCACTGTGGTCATCCCCCAAGGGGGTGACTTCTCACTTCCCCCATCTCTGTCTCTCTCCAGTGAGCACACACAATTTATAGCAAACTAACAAATAAAATTCATGTGAAAATGGAATGAAAGTATGAGTTTATTGTGGTGAAGAAAAATGTGAAATCTGTACACAGTTTTTTCTTTTCATTTTGACAGATTTTTGTTATAGGGCACATGCGCTCTCTGAAGAGACAGAAAGGGAGAGGGGACGGTCACGCTGCGATCCCTTCTCCTCCACTCTCCTCTCAGGGTTTTGAGCATGCATGCAAGTGCACCTGGCATGAGTTTTAAGCTGCCGGGTCCGGGACTCGAACCACGGTCGATACGTGGGAGTCCAGCAACGTAACCCTTACGCCATCTGCTGGTCCCTACACCTGACATTTGATTAGGAACATCAGCCAACACCCCAGCCCTTTATAATTACTACCTTCTAAACAAAAGAAAACCACAAAAGAGATGAAAGTGTCGGGGCCAGCAGGTGACGTAGCAGCTAAGGTGCTGGACTCCCACATGGACGAGCACAGTTCGAGTCCTGGACCTGGAAGCTTGGAACTCACGACAGGCACTTGTGCGTGGGTGCCCAGAATCCTGAGAAGAAAACGGAGAAGGAATGGCCGTGTGGCCATCCCCCCAGGGGGGTGATTTCTCATTTGTCTGTCTCTCTGTCCCTCTGGCGAGTGCATGTGCCCTACAGCCAAAATCTCTCTCTCTCTCAAAAAAAAAAAAATTAAAAAGAAGGAATATAGTGTGGACGGGGCAGCATCTTCTAAGACCCAAGGAATAGTCAGGAGGAAAAATAATCTGTTGGCCTCACCTGATCCTTTTGAGGAGATGCTGGAGGATGAAAAGGGATCGGTGGATTCAAACGGGTCGAGCTGAGTGAAGGAACAGAGCAAAGTAAGTGGAGGGTCACTTGTCCCGTCACCCGGTCCCTCGGCCGCACTTTGCTGACACCTACACACGCCACACCCAGAGCCAGGGTGCAGGGGACAAAATGACGTCGACCCCACTCAGGGCCAGCTGCGGCGGTGCAGCGGTAAGGCGACTGCCCCGAGCTGAGGCCACGGGGGGAAGGTCCCGCGTTTGCGTCCTGAGGGCTCCCTATCGTGGGGCATGTATGCGCGTGCCCACGATCCGGGCTGCCTGAGGTTGGGGGTTGACTGTGCCATAAAGACCCTATCGGGGGTGCCTTCTCTCTCTCTCTGTCTCAACGGAGAAATAGATAAGCTTTTTTTGAAAAAAAAAAAAAAATTATTTTATTTAAATTTATTTATTTATTCATTTTAATTTGACCAGAGAAAGACTGAGAGATAGAGAGTGGGAGAAGGGTGGGGGTGACTGAGAAAGCAAGCTGCCAGGTCCGGGACTCGAACCGTGGTCAGCCATGTGGGAGAACAGCGCTTTTCACCACCACGCCACTTGCCGGTCCCAGAAATAGATACACTTCTTTTTTTTTTTTGTAGAGGTTTTTGCTATAGGGCGCATGTGCTCGCTAGACAGACAGAGAGAGACAGAGACAGAAAGCGAGAAATCACCCCCCAGGGGGGATGGCCATGCCGCAATCCCTTCTCCTCCGTTCTCCTCTCGGGATCTTGGGCACGCACGCACACATGCCCGGCGTGAGTTCTAAGCCACCGGGTCGGGGACGCGAACCGTGGTCGACTACGTGGGAGTCGAGCGACATAGCCATTACGCTAACTGCTGGTTCCCGAAATAGATACACTTTAAACCCAGGCTGAGTAAAATCCATCGGATGAGCTGTCCTGGAGACCATACCTTTATGCTCTGGTCCAAAGTCAACTGCTTGAGGGCTTTGGAAGTGAACCAAAGTGGGAAGATTTTGGAAGAGAACAAAATTTTGACAAAGGAACTCGAGTTGAAGAACTCAGCATGAATTTTAGTTCAGTTTTTTTTTTTTTTTTTTTTGGCCATAGGGTGTTATGTGTTCACCGGAGAGACAGAGAGTGGAGAAGTGAGAAATCACCTCCAAGGGGATGGCCACACTGCAATCCCTTGTCCTCCATTCTCTTCTTGGGATTTTGGGCACGCACACACATGTGCCTGGTGTGAGTTTCAAGAGTCCGGGTACGGGACTTGAACCGCACTCGGCTGCGACATCAACTCTTAGAGACCCTTGGGCCGGCCTGGCAGACACCGAGGCCCACACTCCTCCTGAGCAGTTAGGAATGACCAAGTCAGGGAGTCACTCCATACACAGGGGCCTGTCGGGAGGGGCCGCCTTCACGTAGACACAAGAGGGTGCACGGGTCTCCCCACCACCTTGCTCACCTTGGAAGGTAAGGAAGGGTTTTTTGTGAACGGGTCTGAGGTAAATGGGTCGTTCTTTGCTTGTTTCTTGAAGAAGTCGTCGGTGGCCGAGCCACGAAATGGGTCGCTTTCCTTGAAAGGATCCCCTCCAAACGGGTCTAGAAGGTGTTTCGAAAAGAGAAGGAAAAGGGGTTTCCAGAGAAGACAACGCTCCGCCCAGTGAAAGAACCCAGGCACAGAATTCAGACCAAACGATGCCACCCACGAGATATGCTAGAAAGGGTAAGATCTGAGGTGACAGGAAGCAGGTCAGTAGCTGTCAGGGGGCAGCCTGGGTCAGTGTGTGTGTGTGTGGGGGGCGGGGGGAGACATGATGGCAAAAGGGGATGACGGGAATGTTCTCCAACCTCACGTGACTATCGTGTCAAAACTTACATCATTATGTGCTGAACACTGGTGGAGTTTGTTGTGTGCAAATGATATCTTTTAGGTAAATTTTTTTTTTTTTAGGAGGGGGTTGCATGTACTCGGCAGGGAAAGACAGAGAGAGGGAAAGTGGGAAAGCACTCCCCAGGGGGGATGGCCATGCTACAATTCCTTCTCCTCTGTTCTCCTCTTGGGATTTTGGGCACACACGCACATGTGCCTGGTGTGTTTTTCAAGCTGCCGGGTCCAAGACTTGAACCGCATGTCGACCATGTGGGAGTCCAGTGCCTTAACTACCATGCCACCTGTTAGCCCTGGCAAAAATCTTTTATACAAAAAGAGCTGTGGGGGGACCAGCAGGTGGCCTGGCGGTTAAGGGTGCTGGACTCCCACAGGGCTGACGGAGGTTCGAGTCTAGGACCTAGTAGCTTGCTTTCTCACTTTCCCTTTCTCTTTCTCTGTCTCTCTCTGGTCAAATTAAAACATAATAATAACAAAGCTAAATAATTCTTTAAAAAAAAAAAAAAAAAGAGGGGGAAGCTGTGGTGGGACCAGCAGGTGACGTAGTGGTTGAGACGCTGGACTCCTACATGGCTGACCATGGTTCGAGTCCTGAACCTGGCAGCTTGCTTTCTCACTCGCCTTCTGTGTCTCTCTCTGGTGAGCACATGTGCCTTATGAGCAAATCTTTAAAAATAATAATAAATACCATTAAATAATTATTTTTTAAATTACTTATTGAATTTTATTTATTTATTCATTTTAATTTGACCAAAGAGAGACAGAGAGACAGAGAGAAAGTGAGAAAGGAAAGCCACCAGGTCCGGGACATGAACTGTAGTTGGCCAGGTGGGAGTGTCCACTGCCCTAACAACCTCACTAACCTGCTGGCCCTCAGTAAATAATTTTTATTTTAATTGATTTATTCATTTTAATTTGACTAGAGAGGGCCAGAATGAGAGAGAGTGAGTAAGGGAAAGTGAGAAAGGAAGCCACCAGGCCCGGGACTCAAACCGTGGTCGGTCATGTGGGAGTGTCCAGCACCTTAACCACCACACCACCTGCTGGTCCCATAAATAATTCTTAAAAAGGAGCTGGGGTTCTATTCCCACTTCCTGTGGGAACTAAGCTCCCTAGCTGCTGTGGTTCAGGAGACCTGGGAGAAGGGGAGGCTGGACAGCGTCTTTCTATTTCCCCCAACTTGAACGAGGCCTGGGCCCAGTCCGAGGGCTCATCCGGGAAAGACGTGCCAAGGCCTTTACCTGCTGAAGCTGTCTGTTGTTCTGCAAAAGGATCATTCTGGAACGGGTCGCCTGGGTCAGAAAGGAAAAAGACTGCTTAGTTGTTTGGCGGAAAAAACAAAAACAAAACAGCATGATACGAGCCCACTGAACATGGCTGCCCGCCTGCCAGGCCGCCTGACTTCCACCTTCCCCATCTGGAGAAAAAAAGGTCATTTTTTCTTTTCTTTTTTCAGGTTTTTTGTCAGAGGGTGCATGAGCTCACCAGAGAAAGACAGAAAGTGAACCCCCCCACCACACACACACACACACACACACACACACACACACACACTGTGGGGATGGTCATTCCGCAATCCCTCTCCCTCCAGTCTCCTCTAGGGATTTTGGACACACATGAACACGTGCCTGGTGTGATTTTTCAAGCCATTGGTCTGGGACTCGAACTATGGTTGTCCATGTGGGAATTCAGTGCTTTAACCAGCACGCAACTGGCTGGCCTGTGAGTTCCTTTTTTAAAATTTTTTTTTTTTTTTGGAAGAGGTTTTTGCTATAGGGCCCATGTGATCACCAGACAGACAGCCAGAGAGACAGAAAGCGAGAATTCACCCCCCAGGGGGGATGGTCACGCCGCAATCCCTTCTCCTCCATTCTCCTCTCGGGATCTTGGGCATGCACGCACACGCGCCCAGCGGGAGTTTAAGCCACCAGGTCCGGGACTCGAATCGCGGTTGACTACATGGGAGTCCAGCGACATAGCCATTATGCCAACTGCTAGTCCCCTGTGAGTTCCTTTTCTACAGTCCCCTGGCCTATCAAGGTGGGAGACCTGGTGGAGGCAGCTGTTCTCGACTGGAACAATTAAGATGAGACAGAAGGTATTGTGGGCTGCTGGGATTTCGGGGACAGAGTTGGGGTGGGGCGGGGTGGGGGGAGAACAAGAGCAAGCAGAATTCGCTCTTTCTACTGTGTGTCTTTAACCTCATTTCCCTTCCCACCCCTCTCCCTGGGGCTGCCCCAGCGCTCACTTCACCGTCAGCCCTACGGCGATGCTGAGAACAGCCCGTCGGAGACTCGGGGGGCTGTCTCGTTTATCTCTTAGGCCTAAGAGGCTCCAGCCCCAAACCTGCAACTCGAGAGGAACCCCATGGCCTTCTCCCTGCCTCGGCGTTTTTCTCAGAATGTACAGAGGGCCCTCCAGGAAATCCTGTTTTGCTCGAAAAAACGGAGAGACGTTAGGAAATCTGGTTTCTAGAATACTTTTCGGTTCTTCTTGACTTGTGTGCGACTCTGCGTAAACTCCTGAGATTAAGATCTTAGGTTTATAGAAGAGTCTGTGGTTTCCTAGGTCTTTTCATAATCCCCACTGGGGCAGATCATCACATCAGCCCCGTGACGGCAGCGTGCAAGAATGTATTAACCAAATGACGGATTAGGATGCCGAAGTGTTGGAGGGTTCGAATCCAGCCAAGGGGCCAGGGGGGTGGAGCAGTGGGTAATGGAACTCATCCTTATGGGAAAGGTCATGGGTTCATGTCCCAGGGCTGCCCTGCAGTGGTCTGCAGATATGCCCATGATCCAAGTCAGCTGAGACTGAGTGAGGACAGCAGGTGAAGACGCCTCTCTGTTGCACTCATGGGAGAAATAAGAAAACTGTTTTACAAATAACAATAAGAAATAGGACAGGGACTAGCAGTTAGTGTCATGGCTATGTCGCTGGACTCCCATGTAGTTGACCGCAGTTTGAGTCCCGGACCTGGTGGCTTAAACTTACGCTGGGTGTGTGTGCATGCATGCCCGAGATCCCGAGAGGAGAATGGAGGAGAAGGGATTGCAGCGTGGCCATCCCTCCATGGGGGGTGATTTCTTGCTTTCTGTCTCTCTGTCTCTCTCTGTCTGTCTGGAGTGTACACGTGCCCTATAGAAAAACCTCTCCAAAAACAAAATAAAATGAAACAAAACACACAGTATGGGGAGCCGGACAATGGCCCAGCAGTGAAACAAGGTTCGGTGAGGCTGGCCCACAGGGTGACTCCGGGTTTGGGTCTGGAGACCTCCCTGAGTACACCAGGCATACATGTGCTCATGAACTGAGGGTGGATCACGGAAATGAATGAACTAATTAAAAATCATACAGTAAGGGAACCAGCAGTTAGCGTCATGGCTATGTTGCTGGACTCCCACGTAGTCAACCGCGGTTCGAGTCCCGGACCCAGTGGCTTACACTCACGCCGGGCATGTGTGAGTGCGTGCCCAAGATCCCGAGAGGAGAATGGAGGAGAAGGGATTGCGGCATGACCATCCCCCCAGGGGGCGATTTCTCGCTTTCTGTCTCTCTCTGTCTTTCTGGTGAGCGCATGCGCCCTATAGCAAAAACCTCTCAAAAAAAAACAAAAAAGAGGGTTTTAACTGTTCCCAAAACGAAGGGATGACAAATGCTTAAGATGATATATAGGGACCAGCAGGTGGTGTGGGGGTTCAAATGCTGGACTCCTTCATGGCCGACCACAGTTCAAGTCCTACACCTGGCGGCTTGCTTTCTCACTTTCCTTCTCTGTCTCTCTCTGATGAGCATATATGCCCTGTAGCAAAATTTTTAAAACTAATAATAATAACAAATAATATTTTTAAAAAAGATGACATATATATTACCTGGAGTTAATCATTACACATTATATTGTCATACAGAAAAATCGCATTGTATGTACAATTACTATGTATCAATAAGAAAATAACCATTTTGGGGACTAGCAGATGGCATAATGGTTATGTCATTGAACTCCCATGTGGTTGACTGCGGTTCGAATCCTGGACCTGGTGGCTTAAAACTCATGTGTACACGGGCGCATGTGTGTGTGTGCCCAAGATCCCGAGAGGGAGAATGGAGGAGAAGAGACTGCGGCGTGGCCATCCCCCCTGGGGGGAGATTTCTCGTTTTCTGTCTCTCTGTCTCTCCATCAAGTGCGCATGCCCTATAGCAAAAAATCTCTAAAATTAATTAATTAATTAATTAATTAATTAAAATAACTATTTTGGATTATGGTCATTTTCTAACTTTTCTAGCCATTCAACAAGTCTAAATGGCATAAAATAGAACAGTTGTTCAATGAGAAAATGGGTACCGAATGAGATACCTTTGAAGGGGTCGGCTCCTTTAAATGGGTCGGATTTGAAGGGGTCTTCCGTCTGGAAAGGATCCGGATGCAGTTCTTGGGTGTTGTTGCTAAGTAACAAGGCTTTATTTTTGAAAGGATCGTCCTATAATCGTGTGAAGAAACAGGATAAGGATTTTATTATTTCTGATCGACAGCCGTACAAGGATAGGTTGCATACCTAACTCTAACTTGCATGCACTTTAAGTAGTGTGACTCTAAGAAAAGGGACTCAAAAAAAAAAAAAAAAAATCACTGAGGGCCAGCAGGTGGTGTGGTGGTGAAGGTGCTGGATTCCCACATGGTCGACCATGGTTTGAGTCCCCAGACCTGGTGGCTTGATGATCATGTCGCGCATGTGTTCATACGTGCCCAAAACCCTGGTAGGAGAGGGAGTTGTGGCAGGGCTATTGCCCTGGGGAGTGATTTCTCATTGTCCCTCTCTGGTGATTTCTCACTGCAACCTATAGCCAAAACAAGACAAAAGCTCACTGAATAAGGGGACCAGCAGATGGCGTAATGGCTATGTCGCTGGACTTCCATGTAGCCGACCGCGGTTCGCGTCCCAGACCCAGTGGCTTAAACTCGCTGGGTGCGTGTGCGTGCGTGCCCAAGATCCCAAGAGGAGAATGGAGGAGAAGGGATTGCGGCGTGGCCATTCCCCC